ATTGTCACATGTCATGAAGTGGCTTTCTTTGGCTTCACTTATAGTTTGCTAAATTCCTTAAATCTAAGTTTACACCTCTTGTCAGATTTGAGAACTTTTCTGCCATTATTATTTCAAGTACTTTTTCAATACTACCCTCTTTCTCCTGTCCTTCCACAATTCCAGTTACACACAGTAAATATTTTTTTAGTCCCATAGGCCCATGAGCATTGTTCCCCCCCCCCCCCCGTTTCAGTTTTCTTCCCTCTTGGTTGCTGGTGCTGGGTGATTTCTATTTTTCTGTCTTGCTGTTCACTGGTTCTTTCCCCCATCCCCTTCTGTGCTTTTTCAGCTCATATGCTAAGCTCATTTCAATTATAATGTTCAATCATTTCTTATTTGGTTATTTATTTCTTTGCTGAGACTTTCTATTTCTTTACTGAAGCTTTCTAGTTTTTCATTTATTTGGAACATATTCTTAATTTATCATGGGAGAATTTTATCACAGTTGTTTAAAAATCTTCTCTTTTGTGGTGGGAGCTATCGATTGTCTCCCTTAATTCTTTTGAGACCTTCTTGGTTATTGACATAATGAATGTTTTTTTTTCTTTTTATTGAAACCAAGTCTTTTTCAGAATTATGAGACTATTCTGGATCTTATATGAACCTGCTTTTGCTGTCTTTTTCTGATATTCCTCCAGCAGGGAAATCCCAGTTCATTACTTTCAGATAGAAATAAAAGTCCAGGTTTCTCACCCTTTCTTGGCACTGGGGCTCCTCATAACTGCCAGATGAGATGGAGCTTGCTGCTCATGAGGTCTCTACTAACACTGCGTGTTGGTGGCCTTGTTAGCACTGGACGATGGTGAAAGACTTGTCTCTGCACTGTAGCTCCTCTGATGTGCCTTAATGGCTAGAGTAGCACTTCATTACTACAGTGAAGGTGGCAGTCCAGGTTCCCATGAAGTCTTTATAGATAGTACATGGGCTTTGGAGCCCATTACCTGGTGGCAGGGATGAAAGTACCAGCTCCCTATTTAGCCTTCCCTGACACCATCCTAGGGGAGATGTTGGGATGCCTTGTTACAGCCTCAGGAGGGGGAAGTTTGGGTTCCCCCTTGGCCTTTATGAACATGGATAGGATGGTGCCACTGTTTTTTTTTTTTTTTCTCCCTCTGATGTTTGATATGGAATATAGCAGACATTATATAAAAGTTTTTTCTTTCTCTATAGGTTTCTTTTCCTTCTCTTCTGGCTAGAAAGAGCAAACTTTGGGGGAAACTGTTTTTTTTTTTTCCTACACTCATTAGCATTTCCTGATTATTGACTTTTTTTTAGCTTTCAGCCTAGCATATGTGAACCAAAAAGTAAATTCAGGATAATCCCTGCTGTGCTGCTCCTGGAGTTCTGATTTTGACAGCCAGTCTTTTCTCTACCTTTCAGAATCTTTGTGTGTGTGTGTGTGTGTGTGTGTGTGTATGGTTCATGTTTACTAGTTGCACTCAGGGGAAGGAATAGGGAAAAGCCTATCTACTCCATATTCTCAGAAGTAGAATTCCAGATCTACCCTTTTATTCACAAAGTTTAGAAAATATTCTGAGGTATTTTATTAGAAGCAAAATAATCATTAGCAATGGAATCTGAGAATGATGCTTTCACAAATGCCCAGTGACCACGTATAACTTTTGGAATTAACTTAGATATAAAAATCACATTAGGAAAGTGACTGCTATGTTAGAAAATACAAACATCTAGTTGTCTTCTAAAACAAAAGATATATCATCACCCCTTGCCTGTTTATTAGACTGTGCTCTTGTTTACTGGCTCTGAGACAAATATTATATGCATATTGGATTTTTTTTTGTTACAGTTTTTTTAGAGGCCCAATTATGTATCCAGGCATCCCAAATGATTCTTGGCTTATAGTAACTGAGGGTTATAAGAAAACTACATACACAAAGTTGCTCATGACTCACTATGTTACTATTCCATCAATATTTCCATTTTAAATGAGGGACACCATAAAAAGAGAAATATCCAACCAAATAATGGGCTTCATACAATTTTTTTTCCAACCTCCATATGAAAAATTTTCTGAGAAGGGAAAATAGATTTACCACAGTTCTATGAATTGCAAGAAATTGGTAATTGCCTTATAATCCACATTTAAGATTACTCCTATGTGGTGGATATATAACTTTTTTTTTTTTTTTGCAAAGATGTGGCTGCCAGTAAATCTCTATTTCTGTATACACTGATGAGGACTTTCTACGTGAAAAGCATGTGTGTAGGGGGATAAGTGAATTACATTCTGCTTAATCAAAAGGCACCAGTCTAGAACACAAGAAGAAAGAGTGCTTGTTCAGGGTGTTGTAATGGTCTAGCTATTCTGGTTGGAAAAAGTTTATCCTGTCCATGGAAGCCCAGCACAACAGTTAAATATGTGGCTCTAGGTCTGAGTTAAACCCTTGCCTTGCCTTTTACTAACAGTGTGATTCCCATGATTTTCTAAACCTTGTTTTCCTCAAATTTAAAGTAGACCTAGTAATATTAACCATCTCATGTGAGATAGTTCATGGAAATTATTTACCTAAACATGGCACAGGCTCATCAAGTGTCAGACATAAGAGTTAAAATCTTTGAATTAATAAGGCAGTTTTCTCCTAATGAGAAGAGATGTGTTGCTCTGGAGATAGGGTATCAGTGGTGTGTTCCTTTCCTGGAAAAACATGCTCTCAAGAGCTAAAGGTTAGGAACCTCAAGCAATATAAGAGAAGCTTGTGATCTTCTTGCATGAGAACCAAGCCCACCTGCTGCTCATGCACCTCTCTACTTCTCTGAAGGTTGAATTAGAAAATACACATTTTTTATGTTTTTGAAAGTTTGGGGCTGCCAGAGATAATGTGTCTTTCTTGTGTCTCCTAATCAAATTGTTTTAAACCATTACAAAATGAGAGATATATAGTCAAGTCTGAATCAAAACCAAGAGTCTAAAATATTTGTGGAAAGTGTGCCTTAATGGTAAAAACTTTCCTTAAGGTGGTAACTTTGTAATCATGGGCAAATTTGTCAAAGTACTAGTCATGTTTGAATTATTTGGAAATAAATCAGATTTATTGCTTTAGCCACACCTCATACTTACAGGAAAAACATGTGCCTGAATTTTAATGTCCCCATTGCCAAATCGTTGATATCAGATAAACTTAGTCATAGCCTCACAAATTGGGTTAATCTGGGCTCTAAAGGGAGCAATATTGCTGTTTCACCCAAATCCATAATTGTGGTAAAATAAAAACAGCATTTTGAACATGTGTAGGACCCTATAATGCCCATAAGGAGGAAGGCTGACACACATCCTCCCTGGACCTTGAGTTAAAAGTAAGGGGCATATGAGACCCAACTACAAGCAACCCTCCAAATATAATTGGCCTCAGTGGAGTCTCTGAATCATGATGTGTCCATCAATTCCATAATCCAGTGGTTGCAACCTCAGATAGCTGAACCTAGCATAGCATAGAGTATTTAAATATTTGTTGAGTAGAATATAATGAAGCTGAATTAAATGGAAAAGAAACTAAGCCCCATTTTTTTTTCCTAAAAGGAGGAGAAAGGGAAACGATCATCATTTTTAAAATTTTTCCTAATTAGGTATACGTAACAGCAGAATGTATTTCAGCTCATTGTGGTATCATCATTTTAAAGAACCTACCATGTGTCCCAAAAGGGGTAGTACAACAGATGGCATAATAATGTTTTGTAGAAAAGAACAAAGATGCATTAGAATTTTGTGCTTATCCTCCCAAACCTGGAATGCTTCCTTGGAGAATTTCCATGGCTTCAAAAATATGATTCTTTTCTTTTCCTAGGAGGGAAAAGGAACAAAAAGTAAGACTTTGGAAGGAAGAAACAGTCCTGCTATGTGGCAAACTCATGCTCCTCAATTTATATAGATTCTCACTTCATTTCCTCAATACCCCTCATTCAAGTTTTGAATTACAGGGGTACCCCCCATCAGCACCCTTGGTTCAAGAGAGTATCTATGTCTGATGAAATAATGCCATTTTTAGAAGAATTTGCTTTTTAATAGTGACCAAAGAGTGATATACAGGTGTGAGGCTATAAACTCTTACTTGGCAATGCATGCATCTATCTGACTATCCATCTAATCTACCATCTATTTGTATATCCATCTATTAAGGGACAGAAGCAAAGGAGAAAGAGAGAGGTTTTTGTTTGTGTGAAGGAAGTAAAGATAGACAAGGGGGGAGAGAGACCTCAGAGGGCTACAATATGCTCATTCAATGGGGCTCAATTCTATTTATCCACATTGTTGATTTTACCATCTTTCTCTAAGGATAATATTTGTGAAGAAAATATGTAATGGAAAAAAAATATCCTTGGCATAGTATACTGACTCGAAGTAGATATTAGTTACATACACCTCACCTTATCTTCATCACCCTGCCCACTTTTTTCTCCCCTTTTTACATTCTCAGGAGTTTTGTTTGTTTGTTTGTTTGTTTTTTGCAATTGATGCTGAGTACTCCTCTTATGCTACTTGACTGTAAAATAACAGTTTGGGCTTTGTTTTCCCTTTTGTACCAGCAAATGCTATTATAAGGATGGTAGCTAGCCACTACCATATGAGCATCTAATAGAGATTCAATTTGTAACAGTATATGTCATTTTCAATTTTTTATAACTTTTTATAAAGCCACCCGCATTTAAATGTTTAAGTTGATTATTTATATGTTGACACTATCAGGGCTCAGGAGGATGCCTCAACTAAGATTCTAGACCTACATACTTGCCACTTTCAAACATACCCTCATGGACCTGAGGAGCTCCCCTTTCACAGGTTTCTGGCCTCTCAGGACCACCTTCCACTTTGGGGAAGGAGGCTAGGTAGATTCTGGTTCTTTCCTGTACTCCTTCTCTGAGATTACTTCTGAAGTCAAGCCCTGATGCTTTGGGTGTGATCCCTGTGTGTTGTCTTCCTTCCTGTCATCTTTTTTATACAGACTCAGTCTCCTTCAGAAGATGAGATATTGCTTTCCAGACATCATTTTTCTCTTCCTGGTCTCCCCAGAGCTCAATAAAGGTAAGTAGGAAGGAAGGAAGCAAGGAAGGGGGAAAGAAGGAAATCAATTCTTTCAGTGAATAATGTTTTCCAATCTCATAGACACATCCACTGAGGTGTATCATGGTCCTTCTTGGGTTTTTTTTTTTTTTTTTTTGAAAACAATGAAGGCATGGAAGGCTGTCAAGTATTACAGATCTGAGTCCTCTGGTCCAACTCATCTTTTTTTTTTTCTTGGTACTTTCCTAATATATGTGGTTTTTCATACCCTCTACCATCCCCAGTCTCCCTCTCGATCGATCATATTTTCACTTATATTGTAACACCCAGGTCTGAATAGTTTTTGGACATGGTCTGACCAATAACCTGGGTATTTTCACTGTCCATGTTCATCTGCCATCCTGCTACCCATTGTACTTTCAAGGTTCCCAGAAACTAGGCTCAAGTTCATTTCAGGCAAATAAACCTTCTTTCTTTGATTGTGCTTCTACCCTAAATCCCTTCCTAACTTATATACTACTCGAAGTCAGAAGGGAACTCAGCCTCACTCTTTTCCTATCACCTGTAAAAATATGTTCAAGAGGTTTCCCCAAGTAGCCAGCTTTACCTTGCATTCTCTCCCAGGTTTCTATCCTGCTGGACCTCTCTACCTAAAGTAACAAAACTCCCCCAATCCCCAAAGCACATCTCTCTAGTAGCACCATCCCTGAGAGGGATGAGAGAGAGAGAAATGAAAGCACTGATCATCTCTCCACGGCTTTTGACAAGATGCCCATCTCTTTGTCCCATCCTACCATGTCTTATGTTGTCCTGATCCAGAAAATGAACAGAAATAAGAAAATGTGAGACTGCTTCTCTCCCAAACTTTGTTCATTGTCTTATTTCTGCCCCCACTGATCTGTGTGATGCCCTCTGTTCCTGAGGTAGGATATGGAAGAGGAGGGGAAGCAGACACCATACACAATAGAGTAGAGGTCATCCTTGGCACTCATCAGGCATGTAATGCCTGCTAACAGTCCAAGATCAATTTGGTTTCTTTGTTCCTCTATTGAAGGTGTAAATTCTCACTGAGTCTGGGTCATGAAAATTCTCCTTCTTATGTTCATGAAAGTTGCCTCTTGAGGAACAAATTCGAGATAAAAAATTTATCTTTTTATCTAATATATTCTGTCAATAATTAAAATATTTAAAATCTTGGATTTAACTCTAACAATAATATGTATGTTCATTGTAAATAAAGTTCTGTTTTCTTTTTTTGACATGAGTTGATGAAAGCATTTACTTAAAAAACGCCAACCTATTTCATTCTATTTGTTTACACTTGGATAAAAATATCTAAGTGTTACATATAGTAGGATTGCATGAATGGTATGACTCTACATCATGTACAACCAGAGAAATGAAAAGCTGTGCTCCATTTGTGTAAAAACTAAAATAAATTTAATTAGAAAAAAACTAAAAAAATCTATTGTTATTGCTTTGTGATCATATTATATATAACTACATTAATTTTGAAGCTTGCTTTCTTTTTGCATAGAATGATATACATTTTTAAGTTTTTAATGAGCCCTTGTCAAAGAAATCATTTTTTTTTTTTTTTGGCTGAGTTTGATGCATATATAGTAACTCAGTTTATCTATCTATCTATTTGTTTTCATACCTGGCATTGAACCCAGTGGTTCTTAACCACTGAGCTATGTCCCCAGCCCTATTTTATATTTTATGTAGACACAGGATTTTGCTAAGTTGCTTACGGCCCTGCTAAGTTGTGGAGGCTGACTTTGAACTCACAATCCCCTGCTTCAGCCTCCCAAGCTGCTGGGATGACAGACATGCATCATGGCACCTGGCTTACATTAGTTGTTAATGAGCTTATTTAGATCCATATCTTTGGTTTCAATCTCATTGTTTTTTACTCATTAGAAATTTCAAATGAATAATTCTGTTATCCCAGTAACACTATTATTTTTTTGATTTCTCTTTGAATTTCTAATAGTCTTTGATTTATATAATTTGATCTTGACGCATCAACTTATAGTTTTGTGACTAGTGAATATTTCTTATAGATTGTTCCCTCATTGAGATAAAATGTGCTTCTTTGTCTTTTTACTGTTTTATTTACTTTTTGCCTTCAATTCTCTAATTTCTCTTGCACCAAAATTGAAAATGTTATTTATTATTTTCTCTTAACTAATGAATACTTTATTATCTTTTATCTTCAATAGATTCTAGTTTTGATGACTATCTCCTGTAAGATAGAGTGCAGTTCTTTTTTTTTTTCTCACTTTGTGAGCATCATTCCTAATAGTAAAGTTTAAACAATTAAAAATTTTGGGGGGTTGAAACAAAATTGCATTCTTTTATTTTTGCCACTTTTTTAGGTTATCTGTATAAGTCTAATTGTTTCTTTTTTCATACCCAAAATTGATACTTTTGGTTAAATGAAAGATGTCAATATGACAAAAATCAAAGCACTTTGAAAAAAAAGGTAAAAATTGATCAAATGTTGGAAAAATTTTTACAATATATGTACTGATAAAAGATTTATACACTTAATCTCTTAGAAGATCTTCCAAATAATTTGAAATTATGGGTAAAGGCTAATTGAATTATAGGAAAAGTTTATGAACAGACCATCCTTTAAAATGAAAAAAAAAAAAAAACAGACATTGAAAACTGTATAAAGATACTCAAATTCACAAGTCAGAAGGAATGCATAGATAAAAGTAGTATTTATCAGCAATTTAAACCTATGAAATTGGCAGTCCTTCGTATGATAATACCTGGAATTTATGGATTTCAGTAAAATAGCAAAATTGGTATGTTGAGGGATAATGTTGACATCAATATCAAAAGCTATGAACCTGTACATTCTGTTTTCACCAACAAATTTATAAATTTGTAATAGGAAGCCAAGTTATTTTAGAAAATAGTAAAAAAATAAATGAAATTCTTTGCATAAAGGTGTTAGTCACTGATAATTTAAAATTATACTAGAGACAATTGAAATTAGTTAAATGAAATATAAAAAAATTCACAAGATACAATATAAGGCAGCCATTATAAATAATTTTATAATAATAAAATATTTAATAGTCTTAAATATTTACCTGAATGACATGTTTTAAAAACGTTTGCATATAATACACAAACAGCTTGTAGTTGTGCATACAAACACACTTTCTGATTTGAATAAAAAGAGGTTAGAAGGAAACAAACCTGATGCTAAGATTGGGTTTGGAGTGATTTTAATTTCTTCCTTATGCTTTTTAAATTTTTTTCAAATTATTACTCTTATGACAGCAAATAATACATGTTAATTCTAAATCTTGAGCAGGGCTAGAAACACACTACTAGATTGATATATAGTAATCTTCAACAGGTGATTAGACAGTTATGAGTCTCCTGGACTGTAAAAGTCTTATAATCTTTATGCCCAAAGGTTAATGACTTGAGACTGTGAAATCATACAGAATACCCTACTTTATTTTGGTTATCAAAGAATAACTGAGACCATTTTAGTATGCATTCCTCTTAGTGAGCTTGAAACTGACAGTGTCCATAAATTACTTAAATAATAATAATAATATCTTATGAATATATAGGAATCTCCAACATAATAATAAGAGCCATAATTCATCAAACCACTACTATGTACCTAATGCACATTATATCATATAATTTACTGATGTCCAGCTTGATTAAGGGGCAATCCAACATTACATAGTAAGTGTTCAAGACAAGGCTTAGAACCTTCTCCTTCCCTTCCATTATACCCATTTAATCAACCGCAAGTTTGGTTTAAATTTTTGTCTTGTGACTCCTAAATGGTATCAAAATATGAAATGAATTTCTTATCAGATGTCATCTTTACTGCAGTTATTGCTACAGAATCCATCCAGGTCTTTATTTATGTGGCTGGCAGAGATTCGGAAATGGCTTTATGGAACCCTAAGAAGGGTTTCTAGGGCAAGGAAAGGGATGTTCTTGGTGAAATATCAGGTGGGGTCTTAGGCAAGTCTTTGGAAATTATGCTTCAAATGAGTTAGTTTTGTTTCTTCTCTATCCCAAGATGTTTTTCTCTAAGCCACATTAAAAGATTCAATAGTTTTAATCCTTCTGCTAAATCTTTCTTGTAATAGACCGTCTTCAGTCCTCCTGCTGCTGTCTGGACAAAAACTTTGAGGATTGGGGGATTTGTGCTTAATAAAGGAGTGTTATTGCTAGTCCAAAATGAAATTCTCTCTCCACCATTTATTCCATGTCTGGCTATGGCCTAACATCTAACTTCCTGGGTCTTATTTTTTCTTTAATAAAATAGAAACAATACCTCAAAGTTTTCAGTGAGTGATAAGTGATATGACATCTGTCAGGTGTGTAGTAATAGCGTTCGTATGTACCCCTTCCTGCCTGCAGTTTGCTGTGTTCTTAACCAGACCAGGCTTGGCTTTGGTTCCTTGGCTGTGCCCTCATGCATTGTTTTTGGTTTCATATTCACTTTTACTGAGATGCTGCTCTGTCTAAATTCCCAAGTTTAAAATAGCCAGTAGACATACTGCAAAGATTGTATATTTAGTCACATACACTCATATACAACAATACTGAAATGTAGAATCTGAGAGGGTCCAACAGTCAATCATTTCTTAATAAGTTAACAGAATGTATTATTAGTTGTTTGTCTCCCAAAGGAGCATGGGTTAGAGAACTGTAGAGTGGAAATGTAGGACTTGAATAATTTTATTAGGATGAGAGGGAGATCCAGTCACACATCATACATTTCTTCTACAGATATTCACCAAGTACCCACTTTGAGGTAAGAACAATAAAAATGAGAGAAACAAGACACCATCTGTATCATAAATTTACAATGTATTGGAGATTGTGGTGAGGAGGGCATGCAGATAATTATGATCCAAGGCAATTTGTGGTGCTGTGGGCACAGGCGAGGCTGGGAGGACTTGGGCAGCTGGAGGTGCCAGGCATCTGCAAGGCATCAAGGCGCCTCAGGGAAAGGTAGGATG